TAAAACTGTAAAACTCAATTAATTAGACAGGCTTTATGATTAATAAAATATAATTTAACCATTAAAACAGAGTATAGAAAAATGAAAATGGAAAAAAAATTAATTTGGGCCCTATAATTATAATACATTTTTTTGTGGTAATAAAAATGGATTTAAGTGAACAATAGCCTTTAAAATGACTTAAAATACATATATAATAGCAATTAGGCAATAATAATTAGTTCAAATAAAGTATCAAAAGCAAGAAATCATATGGTTTTATTGAACAAAATTGTAAAATACATAATGTATTATAAACAATAGAGCTAATGTACATTACGCATTACAACAAAAGCCTGCAGAGGGCGCCAACGGCCTGATGATTATTTTTACACATTAATGTGCGATCTAATACTTGTTTAATATTGACCAAGCACCATTTAATAATTTAATTAAAGCGGATATACTGTATTAGAACTGCATCGCATATAATTATTTAATTAAATCGTAGCGTTTGTGAATTCACAATTATGCTTAATTATGATTTTTAAATGGGTTTAATATATTATGCAGCCTTGGGAAACAGTCTAAATGTGTTTTATGGATTCTCGTCCATGAAATGCGCCACTTCTGGTGTTTTACCGGTTAGTCCTCGCAAGCAAAATTTTTAAAAAATCGAATAGTCGAATAAAATCGTCGAATCGCGACTGCCCTATATAATATATATACACTGCTGTTCAAAAGTTTGACATAAGAATTTATAAGTCTGTTGTGCTCACAAAGGCTGTATTTATTTAATTAAAAGCACAGTAAAACGGTAATATTCTGAAATATTACTACAATTTAATATAATTGTTTTTTTATTGCAATATATATTAAAATGTAATTTATTCCTGTGATGCAAAGCTGAATTTTCAGCATCATGTCTCCAGTCTTCAGTGTCTCACGATCCTTCAGAAATCATTCTAATATGCTGATTTTCTGCTCGACACATTTCTTCTTATTATTAATGTTGAAAGCAGTTGTGCTGCTTCATATTTTTCTAGAAACTGCAATAAATTTTGATCAGTGTTGTGTGTTGAATAGAACGTTTATTTGAAATAGAAATCCAAATTCAATTGATCCTTGCTGAATAAAACTATTAATTGCTTTAAAAAATGACTGACCCAAATTTTTTGAACCGTTGCTTGAATATAAATATATATGGCAAGGCAAGTTTATTTATATAGCACATTTCATACACAATGATTAATAAATGAGTAATCATAAAAAAGGAAAAATCATGAAAAGAAAATGAAAATAATTATAATAAATGAATATATGTAATGTAAATAAACTGTAAAATATTCACAAATTAATTTAGCTTTACAAAATATTTAATATCCATTGACAAGGCTGTCATCAGACTTTGGAACTGACACAAGGTGCCACAAAAAGGTTAGTTGGCCAAACGTTACGGTTATCAGCCAGAGTGATAATCTTAAAACAGACAGATATTGGCGGATTAATCAGCCTGAACTGTAGAGCAACATAGAAATTCAGTCTTGAAAACAGCCCAGTAAACTGCAGTAGCCTGTTATTATTACTCAGTTATAAACAGAAACCACTGCAAAAGTTGCACACAGGAAGGATGGCATTTGAATGCTTCTGATATGTGGATCTGCTTCAATAATTACCTGTCAAGTTAGTGAGGCACCAGTCTTAGTGTCTCTCAGCTAACCACAAAGTGTTGCTGTAGTTGATGATCTTGCTAAATTATAAAGATGTGAAACTATTACAAAAGGTGTGTGTGTGCGTGCGTGCGTGCGTGCGTGTGTGTTTTGGCCGGGCAATCGGAAAGTGTGACTTTATCCAACCAATGTTAATTTAGTATCATTGACATGCTATTATAGTTTTTATTAATATTTTGAATCAGTTTTTATTTTTAGATTTTCTGTTTTCAATGTAATTTTAAAGTTGTAGTAATTTTTTACTAGTTTTTACATTTTATTTTTTTTATAAATGTTATAATAGTTTTTATTATTCTTTATTTTAGTTTTAGTTAGTATCATTGACATGCTATTATAGTTTTTATTAATATTTTGAATCAGTTTTTATTTTTAGATTTTCTGTTTTCAATGTAATTTTAAAGTTGTAGTAATTTTTTACTAGTTTTTACATTTTATTTTTTTATAAATGTTATAATAGTTTTTATTATTCTTTATTTTAGTTTTAGTATCATCTATTTTAGGACATCAGATTAAACTAATTGAAAATGAGAAATGTTGCCTTGACCACTAGCACTAGTATATATGTTCAGTTAACATTTATTGTATTTCAAGTAACAAAAATGTTTTGGTTTTTGTTATGGTTTATATTTTAGTTTTAGTTAACTATAATAACCCTGTATCCAATAAAATCTTTGCGTTTATACATTTATTATTAGTATTTATTTTTTTATTTTACAAAAACAAAACAATATTGTTTGTTGAAAATATAAACATATTTGTGGCATATTAAAAAGCATAACTAAAAAAAAATATTTTTATGACTGCTATATATATATATA